ACGAAGTTTATTCAAGTGATACGAATAAAAAAATATTAAGCAAGTTAATACCCGAATTATTAAAATTAATGGCTCCATATTTTAATCCATCACGAAAGCAGCTGAGCAATTGGTTAGATGCTTTACATCATCATCAAAGAGGAAGACATCGAAAGGCACAAACAGGAAAACTAGATGCAGACAATCATTGCTTACGAACAAGGCAGATTTACATAAACGGAAAGACAATTGGCGTAAGTGCAAACAGGTTTTACGTGTCATTTGACCAAACCAAATATTAAGGAAAATAAGCATCCTTTTCTCTTTAGGTTGACGCCAGCTCTATAAGCTTCCAAATCCGAATCGTTCATACCTTGATCCTATGACAACTAATAAACAATTTCGTCATCTAATGAGCATTCAAATCTTCACATCGTTGTGTACTTGATCATAAATCGTATGGTTTGTCATTTCGCCTTTTCTTCACCAAAATCAATGATCATGTAAAACGGAGTTTAATGAATATTGAGCAATTCCCATAACAATTGCTTTTTAAGGAAATGCCGTGGATCACAGGCTGGCCCTGTTTCAATGACATATCTACGCACGAGGATGAATTTCCAAGAGAACATGTCAAAAAGTTTTCGTCAGTTCCCGTGAAAGCGGAAAAACTTTCATCGTAGGCTAGTGATTGTGTATAGTCACCTAGTCACGTAGGACTCAACTTACGTAATCACATCGGATAATTAAGATTATTACTATCTTAAGCTTTTGGGTGGCAATGTTAGATGTTTGTTTTCGTGTGTAGACCTAAAAATGTTGTGGTGGTTGGTTAGGTAAAAAAAAGACTAAAATAATTTAATTCAGATACTCGTACAAATGCATGCTATTGCCCGCAAGAATATATTGCTATTTTGAGTTAAATGGATCATATGATGACAAATAAATATGTATTTTATTTCTTTAAGGATATTATACTACTTTTTCGCAAAACAAAATGAAGATCCTCTTAAAAAAGATTATTAATCACAGAAAACGAATTGAGAGTACAACAATACTAAGAGTAATTGAGTCAATACGAATGAAAAGTAATTTTGACGTTGCGTGTACAGAGTTACACATGTTGTTTATTATTTACACTTTATCACCTTCTAATGGGATTGTGAATGTTTGACCTCATGTTATGTTATGTAAATGAGTTTGCTTCACGTGACCTGCGATTCAGAGAATTAGGAGAAAAACGCGTTCCATTCAAAAGCTGTTAAGATTACTTATTCGGGCATTCCATACAATTGTATTACCTCATATATTGTATAAAACCGCCCTTAAAAAAAGAGGCATAGGTCAATGTGATGTAATGAAATTTGAAAAATGAATTTGCCATATAAGAATATACCGTATAAGAATAATACCGTATATACTGCAAATTAACGAGGGTTGGTCATTACAAGTTTTTTTAAACTACAATTAATTTACCCAATGTTGATGTTATGACGGTTATTGTGTAAAATGTTTCATACTATGGTGGCAATCAAACTGAGGCGTGCAGATTAAATTTGCTTTGATAGGATCGTAAAGACTTACGTTACCAACTTCAGCAACTCTTTCTTTCCCCAAAGGCAAGCGCGTGAAACCCCAAATAAGGTATGATTTGGATTTAAATAAAGCGCATCCTCTCTGTGCGTTGGAGAAAAGTCTGGTTTGGTTAAACAATCACTAAATCATGGTTATATGTAACTAAAAATAGAAAGGTAGTCAAAAACAAAGAAAAAAAATTTTTTTTTGTTAGAATGGGCAATGATGATGATAGAAATTCGTATTAGATAAAGGTGTGGCAAATTTGAATGGATTCATAATGAATGAATGGGTAAATTAATTAATTCATTCTAGCCGATAGCTTTCACAAATTACTAATCAAGAATTATTTAAATGGTAGAGATGTTATTGGCTGAGCACATGAGTGACAATTCAGTAGACGCGTGACGTACGTGAACACACTGTTGCCACTGAAATTTACCGTGTTACACGCACCTTGTGCTATTAATGGCTAAAGGAAATGCAAAAAGAAAAAAAGAAAAGGAAAGAGAAATACCGCAAGTATGCTGGTGTGTCGATGCAAATCTGTTGAGATGACGGAATATCTAAATTTTCTAGTGCATTAGCCATTTTAAGGTTGAAAACACTGGTTTCATTATCGTCAGAGCAAATAACCAATCACAAGTGATCGGGTGTTCCTTCATGGCAAAGATCAGAATTTTATAGCTCTTGCATAAAGACCATGCTTCATTCGACAAAAGGAATCGATCAAAAAAGTCCTGATTCGTCGAACGGCGATTGCGTTCGATTCCGACACAAGTAATAAAAGATAAGGTGCCTCTACAATGAGGCTTATATGGCATTAATTTGCCGCATTATTAAATGCTACAGCAATGTTTCACAAGTGGTAATTGTTTCAGCAAATATTCGATCTTCGATTCCGAGACCCATTATCGATTAGTGTGGTACGCGTGTATCTTGTATACACGCACAACTTGCGTATGCATAAATTAAGATTTTTTTTTGCTTATTCGTGCGTGTAGATCCAAGATTCCTAGAGAATATTGGAAGGTGGTGATGAGTCATCATTCGAAGCCTATTAAGGATAAAGCCCAATCATGATATTTGCGTGTGAACATTCGATGTGCATATTTAAAATTCGTCATATTAGTAAAAATGCATTTACTGAGAATCTTCTGGAGAGACCTATTCGTTAATGTCACCTATGGTAAAATTCTTTTATTCTTTGCTGCAATGATTAAATGGGTGACTTGGAATTTCGAACGAGGACGACCATTTAATTGTTTCTTCCATTTATTATATTATGCACGTCCTTTGTTTATGTTTACATTTATTAGACCTTTCTTGATATGTTACATTTTGTTATGAGATCGAACATCCAAACCAAGATCCTCGATCTTCTTAAAAAAGAAAAAGAATGTCAATATAAATTTATCCAAAAGAAACATGCATTACATGAAACCTTTGGTAAAATTTTGCATGATCACGCGCGTAAAAATGTTGATTCTTTCTCAAAAAAAAAAAAAATCAGAATAAAGCTTGACGTCTGACAAATTCTATTGTTTGAGATGACCTGCTGTGGAAGCAGATATCCTATGATAAGAAGGTAATATGGTGTTTCTTAAGTTCAAAGTTGATGCTTTCGTGAATCTTCTTTATATTGTCATAACCACGTTGTAAATCATTTTAGTTATTATCATAAACAATAATTATTTTAATCAATTTTTTAAATAATATCAACTTAAAATGGTAATTACATTCCTTTACCCCCCCCCAAAAAAAAATTTTTTTCTATTTTAAGATGAACCTTTTTAAAAACTCAATCGATCCATGATAGCAATTCCCGGTCTAATTCAAATATTGATTGGTATCAACTTGAATTTTTAAAAAAAATCCACCACCAACTACATATCATATATAGTTATATATTTATAGTATATTATAAATTTTTAGAATTTTTATATTTAAATAAATATGCCTTTATTTTCTTATTTATTTTAATTATTTCACTTATTAATAAAACTAATTTGTATCTAAAATTCCTGATACATGCAATATAAAAACTTTTATGTAATTATACTGTACATATAGCGTATCATATTTAATTATTTTTTATACTAGATCATAAAATTATTCTTTAAAATAGATTTTTTATAATTGTCAACAAGTTGATTTCTACAGTATTTATTATTAATGATAATTTAAATTATTAAATATATAAATATCGTAATATTCAAATTTTAATTTTAATCTTTTATATTGAATAAATTAATATATAATTATTATCAATTCATCATATAAACTATATTGAAATCTAAAAATATATTCATTTTGATATACTGTATTACTAAATTTAATTAATCAAATTGATATTTTATATTAATTATTGTTTTATTTCAATTATAAATAAATAAATTCGTATAATTATATTTTGACTTGACTTAATTGTAAAAATTAAATAAAAAATAATAATAATTAAAATAATTTTGATTTTGGTATATACAGTATATATCTGTATATATTATTATACCATTATATTTTTTATTTTAATATGTTTATTAAAAAAAAAAAACTCTTTTCATTAATCCTTTTACCAACTCAAAAAACAAATATTATCAAAAGATTTTATACCTTTATAATAATAAAATCTATATACTTTCTTAACAACACTGGTTTGGTTTTCTAACCAGCAAAGTAAGCAGAAGTTATCACTTGATTTATTTTTTTTTTTCAAAATACTTTTCTTGTTTATTTTTGCAACTAAATACAAAAAACTTATTTAAAATATCTATGGCAAGAATACTTTTCTAAAAAGAAAACTAACAAGAAAAAATATCTTTCAAAGACTTTTAAGAGATTCAAAAATCAGAAAAATAAGAATAAAGAAGTTTTCAGTCTCTTTATTATTTTTTTGGCTTTCTACTTTTTTTTTCTCAAGCATGCTTTTTTTTTTTTTTGATTTTTCTGAAAAATTTTACCTATCTCAGTTTGATCTTAAATTTTTGGCTATATTGAATTTTCTAAAAGATAATTGATCAAAATTACAAATTGATTGATCACGTCAGTCTCAAAAAAAGTAAACAAAACATATACTCCTTATATATTTCCAATTACACAATATCAAACTGATAATATGATTGGTTTCTAAAAGAATTGGATAGTTTTTAGTTAAAAAAATAGTATAAAAGTGTTAGGTATAAAGATGGATCCCTAAATTAAAAGCAAGGATATAATTCAAATATCTTTTATTATTAAAAAAGTTTTTTTTTAAATATAAAATCAAAAAAAAACCAATTACAAAAGTTTTTTGCAATTTAGGTTACTTGATTCAAATGTTTTATGAATTATGTTTTTATTAAAGTAATGAATAAATAATTATGTCCCTTTAAAAGGGACATAATTGATCTACAAAATTTTATATGCTAAATAATTTAAAAATCCATCTTTAGTTGGATAGGGTTCTGATCAATACCATTCGATATAGTATTTCATAAAACTAATATCGAAAATTTTTGATATAAAACTTTGCAATACTGATACTAAACTGAAAGTACTAAAATTAAATAAGTTTATATTTTTATTATAATATATATTTATCATATATAAAAATAATATAACTTAAATATATACAGTATATAAAGTCTCCAGTTTTACCTAGAAATTGATAAGTTTAAACTTCTATTTTATTAAATAATAAAATTGACCTTTACAAAAACAAATTACTATTGCTTCTTTCTTCTGACCTCATATATCTCAGAATTGTACTAATTTGTATATCTCTAAGAACTTTAGCTTATCATATTAATCTCTTCTATCTAAAGTGTTTTCTAATTATTAGTTCTCTATCTTTATCTTCTCTTAAGTAGAGATTACAGCAGTTCAAATCAAATTGAATTTTAGCTAAATTCAATTTAATTTATTTTTAAATATACAATTCAAATTTGAATCAGATATAATATAGCTTGATTTAATTCAATTTGAATCAGATTCAAATTTAATTTTACTTAATTTAATTCAATTTGATTTGAACATTTTGTCAATATATATTTTTATTGAAGCATATTTATTTTAATTTAAAAGCTTGTTAATTAAAAATTTTTATTTTTAAATATAAATTATCAATATA